CTCCTCACTTCAGAAGATCTAATTTTAATCCCAGAGAGCCCACCTCCTCCCCAAGTCGTCTGAGGGGGTTTTCCTAATATTTGGGATTAGAGCCTGGGCTTTGTTTCCCGTAGTTCTACCACAGTTCCTATGGATTTTGCCTGAGATGTCATTCAGATCAGATGCATCAGGCACAGCAAATAGTGCTCTGGAGGAATTGCAGTGTCTTTCAGAAGTACCATGGTAGTGTTTTTCCGACTCCTAGTTTCCGTGGACCATCATGGAGTTATTTTCCTGTGTTTAGATCTACCATGAGAAGGTTGGGATCTTATCTTAGTGTGTCACTTTAATGCTATGCAGTGCATAAATAAAAATGGGGTGAAAGATTTGGTTTCTGTTAACTCGGAAGAATTGTATGGCCTTTCTAGCAGAGCTGGAGAGGAAGAGGAGGGAAGAGACTGATCACTTCAGTCCTCACATCTAAATATAAATAGTTCTCTTCTTGGATCCTTTCAGTCTGAACTTCTGGGTGATTTGACCTTTCTTTGATAAAAGCTTTCTTTATTCGCAAGAGTAAAAGGGCAAGGGGGAGGAAAGGACACAGCAGATTTTTTTTAATGATTTTTTTTTTTTTAAATATCTTACGATCTTAGCAGTTGATTTCTGCCATACCCAGCGCTCGCTGTTGAACCAGCTCCACCTTGGCCTCCAGCTTGTCTCTTCCGCCGAGTCCCTTGAGTCAACTTTGCATTTTCCTCTAAAGCATTAAGCAGAAAATTTCTAAGGAAGTTTATAGAAGTGTTTTCTCACAGGGAGACCATGTTCTCTCTCGCCAGACCATGTTCTGGTGGAGATGGATCCCGGGCTCCGGTCCCCGGTCTTGCTGCCGGCCGGGTGGGTCGCTTTGAGCGAGTGACTTGGTTTATGCCCATTACACCACTAACTTTGCTTTTCCTTGCTTCATAACTTCAGCTGAAAGAAATATTTGTTTTCAATGCTGCTGCTGTTTTCATACGTACACCCTGAAGCTTTTTGAGCTCAGCGTCAAAACACGGCTCTCTTTAATGTGCAAAACCACTGGACGCTCTGGTTTTGGTCAGGTTAGCAGCCTGTGCAAGGGGATGCGCAGGCGCAGTGTTGATAACCGCTCTAGACTACACGCAAGTCTTTCTGGCACTAGTTATAACCATTAATTGCCACTTTAAATCCAGCAATAAATTATTTGGGCAACCACACTGCGTGAACCCACTGCCAAAAATAAACCAGAGCCTGGGAATTACTCAGGTCCCCTTCATACTTCAGGACTGGTGCAGCTAGATGGGGTAGAGCATCTCCTGGACTTGATCCGAGAGGTTTTTTTGGTGTCTCACATATCTTCTGGACATAGTTTAAGCCATTATCCTGCGAATGATGGAAGTAGCAGTTGAAAAGTGTCGCATGCGTGCATTGGTTTGCTGTCAGCTTCTGAAGCGCGGGGCGGTGTGTGGGAATGCCTCTGGATGAGCCTTCTGATCCTGTGCAAATTGCATTTTGTGGCTTACTGCCCTCTCCGCTTGGATGAAGTTTCCCCGTAGCTGCCCCTGCTCTAGTGATGCTCCTGTCTCTCTCGGGACTCAAAGCCTTTTATAATGCTCTGCCAGATCAGGAGTCCCTCGGAGGGGGGAGACTTTCCATTTCAGAGCGTGTTCCTCGATCCCACCTGAAATGTGCTTGAGCGCAAGTGTGCTGCTTAGTTTACTTCTGAATCTCCACTTGGTCTGCACGAGATTCCCGTTGGTTTGGTGCCTTTCCTGCTGCTTTTATACACTGTGGTATAGAGTTTTTTCTGGCCAGGAGCCCTCTAGTAATGGGTGTTATTTTGGAAAACCCAGTTACTGCTCGGGCTGCCTCTGCATCGTGCAATGAGTCGTCGCGATTACATGCTGGGGAGGAAATGAAATGATGAGGAAAGGCCTACTTCATAAAGAGCAACTTTATTTTAAACTAATTAAATTGGGGATTAGAGGGTGCTGTGAAGTTCTACCCCTGGTTAGAGAAAACGATGCAGGAAAATGCAGTGTATTAGCAAAAGCGTGATTGTCTAGGCTTATAATAAATCCTGTCTGATTTTTGAAACCATTAAGTTTAAAGCAGGCCAGCGTACGAGGAGTGACGGGTTGTCATGTGGTGCAGAGTCTGGCTGGAGGTCAGTAACAAGTGGTGTCCCTCAGGGGTCAGGACTGGGTCCAGTCCTGTTCGATGTATTCATCAATGATCTGGATGAAGGGATAGAGTTTGCTGATGACACAAAACTGGGAGAAGTGGCTGACACACCAGAAGGCTGTGCCGCCGTACAGCGAGACCTGGACAGGCTGGAGAGTTGGGCAGAGAGAAACCTCATGAATTTCAACACGGGCGAGTGTAGGGTACTGCATCTGGGGAGGAATAACCCCGTGCACCAGTACAGGTTGGGGGCTGACCTGCTGGAGAGCAGCTCGGTGGGAGGGGACCTGGGAGTCCTGGTGGCCAACAGGATGCCCAGGAGCCAGCAATGTGCCCCGGTGGCCAAGAAGGCCAATGGCATCCTGGGGGGCATCAAGCAGAGTGTGGCCAGCAGGTGGAGGGAGGTCATCCTCCCCCTCTGCTCTGCCCCGGTGAGGCCCCATCTGGAGCACTGTGTCCAGTTCGGGGCTCCCCGGGTCAAGAAGGACTGGGAACTGCTGGAGAGGGGCCAGCAAAGGGCTACGGAGATGCTGAGGGGACTGGAGCATCTCTCTTACGAGGAAAGGCTGAGGGACGTGGGGCTGTTCAGTCTGGAGAAGAGAAGACTGAGGGGGATCTCATCAACGCTGATCAATCCTTCAAGGGAGGTGCCGGGGGGATGGGAACAGTCTGTTCCAGTGGTGCCCAGTGACAGGACAAGAGGGAACGGGCACAAAGGTGACCAGAGGCAGTTCCATCTCCACCTGAGGAGGGCCTTCTCTGCTGTGAGGGCGGCAGAGCAGTGGCACAGGCTGCCCAGAGAGGTGGGGGAGTCTCCCCCTCTGGAGCCATCCCAAACCCGCCTGGACGCCGTCCTGTGCCACTGCTGGAGGTGCCCCTGCTCTGGCGGGGGGTGGGATGGGGGAGCTCCAGAGGGCCCTTCCCACCCTCACCAGTCTGGGATGCTGTGATGGATAGGGCCATCTTCAGGAAAGGTGAACGGTTTCAATTTGCTTATAAGAACGTATTGATTTGAGTTCACGTGCCCTCTGTGGGAGAGGGTGGTGGCACTGGCGAGGGATGGCAGTAGAAACCGAGCTCCTGTGACAGCAAGCTCAGGAGCAGTGACAGCTTCTTACACACGCGTTTCTCCACTGTTTTAAATAGGACACCTTGCAGGGGTTAGAGGGAAGAATAATCCTCTATAGGGTTAATCCTTACATCCTTGGTCTTTGACTTCTGAACGAGGGAGGGAAGTTAAGAATGTTCTCAGAAGTGCTTGGAGACCACCTACTCGTCCATATAGACTGCCAACAGCTGTCAGATGGAAATGATTTTTGGACAGTGAGAAGTCAGCGTGGAATCACACGGGTGACCCACAGCAGGCTCTGTATCCCACAGCCTTTGACTGACACCCCTAGTGATTCTTGCCGTGGAGGGAAGAGGGTTTCCCAGACCCATCAAAATTCTTCAGCGGGGTGTGAATTAGCGGTGGGTCGATGCTTTAATGTCTCTTGCGGTTAACTTTAATAGACACATGTTCCTCTGAAGAAGCTTTTTGCCAAGCGCGTTTATGGCTGAAAGATGTCTGGTAGCAGGAGAACATGGGAGCTCTGACTTAAAACCCAGATGGTCTGATAAAGCTTCGAGTGGTGGATCCCTGTACCGGCCGTGTGCTTGGTGACACTAACCCCTCTGCTCAGCGCAGTGCTGTGCCGCCTGTTCTCTGTATTACTGCTCTTAACCACAGCTCTCCAGCCACTGGTTCGCTTCCAGATAACCAACTTGGTGTGAGAACTCTGCTGAAACTTGTCCTTACCCGCTGTCCGTCTGTTTGGTGTATGCCTAAGTGTTCCCTGTACGTTTTCTGTCTTGCAGCATCTGGAGAGGGCCAAATGTGAACTGCGTTGACAGTACTGGATACACTCCACTGCACCATGCTGCTTTGAATGGTCATAAGTGAGTCATCTTATAATGCCTTTGATCATAGGGGATACTATGTGCTTTACAAGCCACGGTTTCTGTGTAATTCATTCACCAGCCTGATGCTGTTGCCACTGAAAATGTGGCGATGGTGCAACACTACACCATCTTCAGGACAAAAAGTGAAGAACATCAGTGCAGTGAAGCTGTAGAGGCACTGGCGGCTGCACAGCGTGATCGTACATCTCTTAAAAAAAAATTGGTGATATGCTGAAGCTTTCGACCACCCTTTTCTTTATAAGCAATTTGGATAAGGTAGAACAACATATTAAAGGTGGCTTCTCCAGTAACAGTCCTCTGCAGTCTGTCTGGTGTCCCACGTGTTGCTGTGCCTGCACCACTTCAAATTTGCTTTTGTGCACGTTACATTTTTAAGTAACTCCAGTCTTCAGCGTGGTCAATCTTGTACTGTTCATTGCTACTTAAGACACTGAGAAATTGAACAGAGTTAAAATCTTTATTTGTCTTTTATTGTGGTGGTGCGGGTCACTTTTCACCAGAGTGGTTTATGGATGACTTCAGTCCCAATTCAGCTCCATTACTACAAAGGTAACACTGATCTTTCCTGAGCTCATCTCAGCAGTCTTGCTTTGGTTTTGGTTTTTTTTCCGTGGGCAGTGTTTAATAGGAACACTTTAAAATCACATTTTGAGAGGATCTCTGAAGTACTCCTTTTCAGATTAACTTTTTGTAAAATACTTCCTGCAGAATGTAAGCTGTGAAACAAGGACTGAATATTGTATGGACTCCAGTTTCCTTCTCTTGCAGGGATGTGGTGGAAGTTCTGCTGAGGAACGACGCGCTAACCAACGTAGCAGACTGTAAAGGCTGTTACCCCCTCCACCTGGCAGCTTGGAAAGGAGATGCAGACATAGTGAAGCTCCTCATCCACCAGGGACCTTCGCATACTAAAGTGAACGAGCAGGTCTGCCTATTTTTCTCTAATATATCGTTGAATCACTTCCCTGGGATGGAGAGAGACTACTTCAGCTGACTCGTGACCCCTCCCAAACTAGTACTGCTTGTGATAAAGTCCTTCTTGCTAATGGGATAAGAAGGGCAGTGCCTAAAGCAAATACCTCCAGTTCTGAGTTCGTGGTTGAGTAAGATACACACGTTTATATAGAGATACATAAATAGGAGAACCACTCAATGCCTAGCAGGGGTCTCCTGCTTTCACACTGGGCTTCTGAAACTAACCCATAGTTTTTCCTTTCAGTTGCTGGATAGCTGAGAAGGTGTCTAGTTCTGTCAAAGGATACATTGGCTCCATTCTTTGGGAACTCATCAAAGCAGCTTTGTTTAGTCTTTGTTTGGCCATGCTCTCTTAGCTACTCTCCTGGCTTGTCTCTAGCACTTGCTCCAGTTAACTAATTTGTAAGTTGTAAGATCATTTTAAACCTGTTTGCCCCCAGATAAATCCCTAGCTTAATCTTAAAGAATTATTTTCTCAATCGGGCAAGAAAAAAAAATCTGGTGGATTTCTTCCCTTTGTCAAGCTGATAGTTTTTGGTCTGGGATGCAGAGGGATGGATTGGTACGAGTCAGCTGTTCTGTCCAGGGGCTGCTGTGTCCACCTCGGAGGGCTGGCTCCCATGTAACTTCCCACTGGAAGTCAGCAGGTATCTTACAGTTCCAGTGAGCTTCTGAAATGCTGCCTCTGGAAGACCCAAATATTTCTTTTGTGTTAAGAGTTTTGGATAAGGGAACTGGTTTACTGGATGAAGCCAGCTGAGTGGCGTTACAGCACCACGTATGGCTGAGCGCAGTTGGGCAGAAGTGCAGTAACAGATCCAAATCAGATGGTTAAAGCTACAATAGCCCTTGGTTGCCCTGTCCCCGAGGCAGGAATGTCTAATGTCCCTGTGAATCAACTCCTAAACCACCCAGGTTTTCATCCAGGAGGAGAGGAGTAAACCAAAATAAGTTTGTCTTTGTACCACAAGGCTAAAAATGTATATTCATTCAGAAGTCAATTCACAGGTCGGTCAGATACTCATGGCTCAAGTTTAGCAAAATCTGCCAAAGTCAAGATGAGCAGCCGGGAACTGTGAGTTTCTGCTGTTTAATTTTGATCTGCAGCGTAGAATTTTCAGAAGCTGAGGAGCAAACCCCCTTCGGAGTTGGGTTTAGGAGTCCTAATCCTGCTTCCAGCTGTACTTTGTGGGGACCGAAGTGCCATGCTTAAGTTTTCTGTTCCTCGGTGTAAGAGATGCACAGTGTAACGTGGTGCACCGGGCTGCTCCAAGGCTCAACTGTTGCTTCTAAAGCATCACAAAATGAAAAAAAACCAGTGGTAGTGCTATTCACTACCACTCCTCAATTGAGCAGAACTAACTAAAAGTGCGTGGTTTAATGTCTTTGATAGTTTTCCAGTTTGGGGCTGCGGTTAATAATGTCTTCAGGCACAGCTGCAGGCGGTCAGTCTGTTGCAGTAGATTTGGGAAGTGCAGCTGGCTGTTTACAATCAATCTGATAAGAATTGACTGAGGGCCCTGAACCAGTAAAGGGTTCTGCTCTGAGTAGGACAGGTACAGGGGAAACCTTTGCAAAAGATTAAAAGCTTAGTGTAATCCTTCCAGGTAATGTTTCATTAATGTCTGTTTAGTAGGAGCCTTTTTACATGAGAACAGTCAGCTGAACAGCCTGTGCTGCTTGTGTTTGGAGTCTTGTAAATGAAACGCACAGCGGTTCGGGTTACAGGAATCGGCAGCTGGAATGGCTTCTGCTGTTAATAGCTTTGACTGGAACAAGATGCTGTGTTCTGTCATTTCCACCCCTTGGGAGTCACCCATTGCTTTGTTGCTATATCTCACCCATTTCATTATCACATTTTTTTTTTTCTTTTTCCTCTTCCTTTTTGTAGAATGCTCTTGAGATCAAAGAACTCAAAAAGTACGGCCCCTTTGACCCATATATCAATGCCAAGGTGTGTACTTTGCTGTCAGCATTCCACTGCATCATTACTCCAAGCTGCACTCGCGTGCTTCCAGGTGCAATGTCATCCAGTTGCAATAATACCCGTTCCGTTTGCAGCTGCTTGGGGAGAAGTAAAATGCGACCATTTATTTACTGTGGGTTTCTTTCTTCAAAGCAGTTATAGAAACGTAATTTAAGGGAAGCTTTTCCTTCCTTACCCGGGGGCTCCTTCATTGCTTAGCCTTGTAGGACTCACGGTGATGGTCAGTTTGCTTGATTTGGCTGGATGACTTCCAAAAGGTAACGTTATTTCAATTAAAACGCTTCAGGTTTTGTTTCATGTGCTAATGTTGCTGATAAATGCAAAGAGAAGGAATTTTTTTTTTCCTGCTTAAACATGGATGCATTTTCTCTGTGGGCTGTTTGGAGTGGATTCTCATGCCTTTTCTCCTACAAAATGCATAATGTATTTGTCATTTGGATGGACAGTTAATACTTTTGGTGGTGGGGGGGAGAAGGGAAGGCAGTAACGTTCACGCCTCCCTTCCCAAGTCCTTCATGTCCTGCTTATTGCATCAGTCTCTCTTTTTTGATGTTAAGTCTGTTGTGTCGTCTGACCCTTCAGCCCTAGTCTTCTGTTCCTCTTCTCTTGCCTGTTTTGCTCCTCTCTGGCTTTTAGTTGTTCGTGAGCTACAAAAGGCATGACATCAGCGCTTACGATGCGCTGAGGCTGAGCGACTGGGGAAGCAGATCAAGTTCCCAGTGGTGTTTTCTCAAACACCGTTTTTCATTTTTATTTCTAGTGAAGCTGCAGGCCAGGGACGGCATAATAGTCTGCTGATTTATCATGGGATACTTCTGCTCTCAGCCGCCACGCCGCTCTTGCTTCCAGACAATTATTTTGGATCCAGCCATCCATGGCAGATCTCCGTCACTCAAAGTTTAGTTAAAACTTTCACTCTGCTTGATCTGCAGTACCTTGAAAACACACGTTCGGAATTCCTGAGCTTGCTAACCGCCGGGAGTTACGTTTGTTTTTGCAGACTTCTATTTCAGGAAATACTCCAGTGCATACCTCTTTAAGCACAAATACATTTACATGAAGCTCATCCGTATCGGTGATTTTTACAAAAATCCAGATGGGGATTTTACAGCATCAAACGTCTTCTGTGGCAACATCATAGTCGAGCAGTTGAGTTGCCTGAAAGGAGCTTTCTAAAACGTTGTCAGTAACTGAGTGAATTCTTACACGCTCCAGCATTGAAATGATGAATGAAGAAGGAATATAAAGATGAAATATGCAGTGAGCTCCCTTTCTTGTGCATTTTTATTTATGAATGTTCTATTTTGGATTTTATATTTTTGACAAGTGCGTTATTTTGAACTCTCAGTTCAGTTTTCGAGGTGGCTGTAGCACTCTGGAGAACAGGGCTAGAGGTTTTTGAACTCTTTGCCTTGGTTTTAAGGAGAGAAATGTAGCTTATACACAACCTGTGAGGTTCATCACAAGTTCCGACCAGGTTTGATGAAGGGCATGTGGAATCGTACCTGTCGTGCAAACCCTGATGTGTTCTCACCAGCCTGGCTGCAGGAGGGAGAACCGCAGAAACCCCAGGTGGAAAGTGTGAGAGTTCTTGCTTAGTTGGTGCTTCCAGCTTCTCTGCTCCCCTGCAGGGTGGGATGTCATACAGAAACGATTGAAGTTGAGGTGTTTCATCTTTCCAAACGGTTTGGGATATTCAGAAGAGGGGGGAAAGCCTTTATATAAGGCTGAACTACAATTTAATATCCTGTTGAGGAAGAGATAAGAAAGCCAGAAGCTTCTCGCTCTCCTAAGAGTTAAGGAAATAGTCAAAAACTTCTTTTTATGCCCCTTTTCAACATCTTTTGTGCAATCGGAGTTTTCTGCAATATGTCTCTTACAGGCCTGAAGGACTTCTGAAAAGCAAATAGTAGAAGCCCAGTTAAGAGATGGAGCAGCAACTTTGCTTCAGTAACTCCTTGAATTGGGTTATTTAATTTGTATTTTGAACCAACCAGTTGAGCAAAGCCGAAGTCGAAAAAGCTGTCACACAGCTCAGGTTTGTGCACTGCACAAACTACCTTTGTCTTTTTTAATTGGAAGCAAATGAGTCATGCAGATTGGGTTTAAAGTGCTATAAATCTAAATGGGCTGCTGAGAAAAGTGGAAGCGAACCATCTGGAGTCTGCAAATGAAACCGGGCAGCGAACCCACCCGCAGAGCTCCCGAAAGCTTGTTGGACATACGGGGATTGGGGTCGGTTCTTTTGTCTCTGAAATGCGTTTGGCATTGTCGGGCACCTGTAGGAAGGAAGGGCGCTGCTTCGTCTTTACTCTGCTCCTGGCAGTGCCGTGATGGAAATCGTGTGCTGCAAAGGGAGGGAAGGAGAGGGTACAGCTGCCCGGGCAGCTCCAGCCAACTCTCCCGACCTGCTGTGCGCCCCAGGTTGCGATGTGCATTGGGTGGCACCTCCTGGGGAAGTTTGGATTTTGCTTAATGTATTTTTTTTTTTTCCCTCTTTCCTTCCGGCCTGCCTTTAACTGAAACTTTGTGGAGCGCATCCCAATGGGACATCCCTGTTCTGTGCTTTAGGGTCAGACGTGTCACTGGAGCAGCAAACCAGCAGGTTTTTAAAAGCACACGCCTCCGTTAGACATGCATGCACTGCCAAAAGTCCTGCAAAGGAATCTTAGAAATAGGTTGGATGGGACCGAAGGGTCATGTAGCCTCTTTCCCCAGCCCCGGGGCAGGGTCAGGTCTACCTAAACCGTTCTGGACCAGTGTTTGTCGGGCAGCTTCTCAGCAGCGTCAGAGAGGGACAGCTCTATAGTCTCTGTGGCAGTTTATTCAACCGTTCAAATCTTTGCACTTTAGGAAGTTAGAAAACTTTCCCTTATTTAAACCAAGACTCTTTGATGGAAGCCCTCTTGCAGTGTGTTAGGAACAGGGGTGCAGACAGATATACTTTTATGGGTTGTAGGTTCTCCCTTTTAGCGTCTGATGGAGGAGCATAAGGGCGATGGTATGTGGTATGTAGTTACCAGGGCTTGAAAAATTGGATGGAGCCCATATGAAAGCAGAAGCATTTCTGCTTGCGTTCCCGTTTTGTGGTCTGTAGGCGGGCATCGTACGAGCCCAGCTTCTCACTCCCAGCTGTGAACCAGGGGGATGCTAGGATTCCTGCAAGAATGCAGCCCCTGGGCCCTGTTGAGTGCTCTATTTTTCTAAGAAGAAGTTTTGAAATTTGAATCCCTATGCCTTCTGGCTGCTGGAAAGGAATTTTTCCGTCTCCGATAAATACGTATGTCTGAGCGCTTGTGCTCATTGTTCAGGCTCTGCTCTGGTTTGTGCTTGGAGAGGCGATGCGGGGAAGGGAGGCAAACTCCCTTGCCTGGAACAGCTCTAGCATTTTTGGCTGCCCCAAACTCTCCCAAAATGAAGGCAATACAGACTTATGCAGTAGGGGGAGTTTCCAGTGTGCAGTCTGCGCTGGGGAAAGACTTGCTGTAATGATTCAGGGGAGTTTTACCACCTGGTGACGTCTGTTGCAGGAGGAAAGTCTGGGGATTTCATCCCAAGCATCAGAGCCCTGACCTGCTTAAGGGAAATGAGACTAAATTGCAGCGAAAATGGGGGAAGTCTTCAACAATTACACTATTAAAGGATGCTGTGTTCCCATTTCTGAGCCGTCAGGCAGGTGTTTGGAGTTGCTGCCCTTGAGGGATGCGGTCTCTGTGCCAGGGAGGGATGAGAGGGGGACAGTCAGGCAGTGGAAATCCCCGGTGGCCATGGCCAGCGTGGCGTGAGCAGTGCCTGCCCTCCATGGCTCTTTGGCCGATCCCCGCTGCTCCGGAGGGACTGGCGTCACCCGCTCTTTCTGCGGAAACTGGCCGTGAGCGCCCCTTGTGCCGTGGGGCAGGCGGAGGGCCTCGGTCTGCTGCATCACGGGCTCGCCGGTACCCGGGTTCCCTTCCCTGTCAAAGGAGAATAATGCGATTTACCAACCTTTTAAATGCCTCGAGACCAGCAGTTTAAGCTGATTGATAGGTGTTATCTCTGTAGTTCTCTATTCTCTCCCCTTCTCACTCCGTATGTGTATTTTATGTGCAGACTTCTTTATTCTCCAGTAACTTCTGTCCACTTGTATGTGCCATCCTTCACCATGGCTGCCTCTGCCACTCCAAGTGTAGAGCCTGTTGTTTGACTTGGAACTTCGGTGCTAACAGTGATGCCGTGCTTTCCTTACCTTCTGAAATATCTCACTTCTGCATGCGGCTGTTGCTGCTCCCTGCCTCGGTAGTCTTTGCTTTTATACAAATTGCGGCTGCAGAGCTTCTCCAGAACTCCTCACTTCCCTCATGCTTTTCACGTGGCTGAAAAATGATGCAAATACCAGATAAAAAACAAAGGGGAGTTTGCCTGCATGACTCCTGTAATCCCTAGAATGACTTAACACGTTAATAGGATTAAAGCGCTTGTACAACAGAGCAAGTTCTGCAGCGTGGTTGTGAAATGGTGCAAAATATTGACTGCTCCTACAAGCTGGTATCCAAAAAAAGCGCATGCGCTCTCAAAGCAGAAAGGAAGGTACTTTGATCAAATTCAGTTTCTAAAGTAGTACTTCCGACTCCATCAAGACAACTACGTTCTCCGTTGGGTTTTTTTTTTAGCGGGAAATGTTAAAATGACAAATTCAATGATGATTCTTTCAGCTAAAATTTAAGCAAATAACAGTTTGTACTGAAGTTTTTTGGGTCAAATCGTTAGATAAGTATTTGTTTCTGAAGTGATTTAACAGAAATCCCTCTGTCTATAACACACAGTAGTAAAACTAGAAACTTGAGGTGAATTTGGTTTTAGGAAAGGCTCTTTCACATCTGGCAATGTTCCTATTTTGCACCTGCAAGTGCGGTGTGTTAGGCTGCTTGTCTTTCCGTGCTTTGCATTACTGATTTTTAACCTGACAGATGCTGCACGCGTTAATTGGATCTGGCTTTCACTGTGGAGGTGTTCTCTTGTCCCTTGGAAAACTCTTCCCTCAGTTGACCCGAGACCTTGACTACAAGGGCTCGTTAGCCAAGTGATCTAATTGCACTGCTTCCTAATTCACAAACTGCATGTAACTCAATGCACCCTCTCTCTAAACCGGCCAGCTTGCGAGCTTCAGAGTTGCAAAGGTGGAATGACTGTTATAATCAGGATAAGTAGGATTTGAAACAATTGAAGTTTAAATCTAAAATGATGACGATTAAGCTACAGCAGATAGAATTCCTACTGCGGTTTGCCTGTCGTACGTTGCGGCCTTTTATTTTTGTGGCACCCCGAAGTGTGGGATGCTGCTAACAACTAACAGGCTGCCTTCCCCAGGTGCTAGCAGAATTAATGGGAATCCGGATATAGCTTGAAAATCCCTTAAACTTTAGCGCGGTCCCTTGATTTTTGACCCCAGTGCCTTCAAAGCAGGGTATTCCATGTAGAGCACCTATTTCCCGTGGAGCAGATTTCCCATATCGGAGTAAAGCTTATTGTTCTGAATGTTTTTGAAGCTTTTATTGGGCGGGTTGGTAGTTGAGCTCACGAGGGGATGGCTGTGTCCGGTAAATGGCTAATGAGATGGTGAAAACATTGCTCCAGGCTCTGTTTCAAACTGAGCTCTCTGCTTCCCGACTGCTTTTTTGTCTTGTTTTTGCATTTAAACTTCAATGGTTTGAGCGAGGCACGGACCAGCTCTGTTCTCCCCCGTTCTGACGCGCTGTCGTTTGTGACCCCCCCCCAGAACAACGACAACGAGACGGCGCTGCACTGCGCCGCTCAGTATGGCCACACAGAGGTGGTGAAGGTCCTGCTGGAGGAGTTGACCGACCCCACCATGCGCAACAACAAGTTTGAGACTCCTCTGGACCTGGCCGCGCTCTATGGGAGGCTGGAAGTCGTGAAGATGCTCTTGAACGCTCACCCCAATCTTCTAAGCTGCAACACTAAGAAACACACTCCCCTGCACTTGGCGGCTAGGAACGGTCACAAAACTGTAGTCCACGTCCTCCTGGATGCTGGCATGGATAGCAATTATCAGGTATCTACTGTGTCTGTGTGTGGAGAGCTGGTCTGATTGCCGGGGGACGAAGAATCCCTGTAGTCGGGATACCGAGAGCTCCACCTAACCCTCCTGCCAGGGGCATTGCTTATGAAAGACGAGCGATGGCTTTGTTTTCCTCTGGGCTGTTTGTTCAGCTCTTGGTTGCTCTGAGAAGCTGCTCAGAGGGATTCCGGTGCTGTGCATGCTTCACGCCTGCTTGTTGCACAGAGAGCCCCGGACACGTAGCCTGGAAGGGAGAAAAAAAAGCCCTTTCACGTAAGCTGTTCTGCTCTGCAGTGCTATGAGCTCTTAATAGCGATGGAGGCAAACTCTGTCTCTTCCGACCACTTGTGAATATGCTGTTTTCACAGCAGTAGCTTGTCTGTGGTGGTCTTGTCTCTCCTTTTCAGGACATGACCTCTTTGCTAAGCTGTAGAAGGTCCTTTCTTGGTCTCTAACCTGGGCCCGCATGTCTCTCTCAAGAGACCATCCCCATTTTCCATTCCAAATTCTCAGCATTGTAATAATACTGATAGTCTGTCCTCAGTTGTAGTTATTGTTGCCCACACTTTGTATGTGATGCCATGTATTTATTGCTTCTGTAACCTTCTGAAACATGCCTCCATCACCATTCCCCACTGTCTAGCTTCATGCTATTTTTCCATTTAATTTGCAGACTGAAAAAGGCAGTGCTTTGCACGAAGCTGCTTTGTTTGGCAAGACAGATGTGGTACAAATATTGCTGGCTGCAGGTGAGAGAATGATCCCCTTTTGAAGCAATGACGTGGTGATCCCTTCACCCAGAACTTGCGGGAAACCCTTTATAGTGGCAGCATGTTTCTCCAACCAGCTTTGAAAGGGTTATAGGAGAGGTTTTCTCTTGGAGTTTGGCTTTAGGTCTGCTTCTCTAAAGCGGTTTTTAGCTCCCCCCAGTGATGATCACAAACGTAAGATCTGACTTGATGAGTTTGCGCATAGTCAGAAAATATTCTTGCTTTTGCCTTCTCCACGCCTGTTACCGTAGGTATTGATGTGAACATAAAGGATAACAGAGGCCTGACAGCTCTGGATATTGTGAGGGAGCTTCCTTCTCAGAAAAGCCAACACATAGCAGCTCTCATTGAAGGTAAGTGATGTAGCTCTGTGTGGGGGCAGGAGGGAAAAGTTTGGGGTGATAATTGTGCCAGTGCAAGTACAGGATTTTGTTCTGTAGTCCTGGAAAGTGCTGAAAGCAAAGCAGCTTCAGGCCAGGTCCCTTGATGAGAATCTCGCAGGTGTTGGAAGGAATGATGCTTAAACACTGGGGTGAACTGTCTCCAGACCAAATGTTTTCAGGGGGGTTTCCAGGAGGAGGATTTAAGAGGATTAGCTCCTTTGCTGAAGGAGTGTGGCGTGACTTTTACAGTTTAAATGGGCTTAATTGAGCTTTGTTTAACTTACTTTAGAAGTTAATTAAAATTAAGGATAGCCTAAATCTGCTAGCAGAATGCAAAGTAATAGCTTTAGAAATGGGTTTGGATTAACTACCCTTTATGTGTCTGTGTAGGCAAATAGCCATCCACAGATCTGACATCCTACTCCTCACTTCACTGTGAAGCTTGGGCATGGATTTTGGAGATGAGATTTACAGAAAAGGCCTTGATTACCTGTGGTTTATAAAGGAGGTTGGCCCATTTGTGTCTGTCCAAGTTCGGGAACGAAATGTGGCATCTTAGCTAAATTCATACCTTGTAATTATGCTGTCTCAATTTCCTCTCAGCTGTGGGGAGAAAGATCAGAAGCGTATGCAACTGGTGTGCATTATTCATGCTTAGCATTTGAGGGCTTTACAGGTTCAAAGCACTTTGCAGACTTTTAATTAAGCTTTGCCTGTGAGGCTGGTAGGTGTTATCTCTATTCTGAAATTGAAGACAAAGATGAGCTTTAAAACTAAAGTTCTTGCAGGTAAATGCTGATAGATTGCTCCTGCAAGCGAGCTGGCTGCGGGAGAAGTTACTGTCTGACTTTATTGACATAAGCTTAATGTTTCTGGCTTTGCTGTGGTTAGGGGACCGCAGCTAGAATTGCATTCTCTGCTGTCTTATGACTCCGGCAGACCAGACTGCATCTCTGTTCGGTGCCGTAGCTTGTGTCTACGGCATGAAGTAATCTGCTCCGTGACGTTGTGTCCGTACAGGAACTTTGCAGCTTTCTGATTAAAGGCTCTGTAAAAGTTCAAAGAACCATCCTTAACCTTGTGCATGTGATTAAAGAGGCCGCCTGCTTCTATTTTGGGATCTGAGCTGCAAGTTTTAATAATGTACTATGTTATTTTTTGGAAATTTAATAAGCTGACGGTTCGCCTTCCATCCATGAGGGAGGAAACACCGTATGCTGAAGTGGACGTAAAAAACCAGATTGACATAAACTGACCCTGTCGCCCCACCTTGTTGCAGATTACACCGTTGGGAAGAAAAGTGCCAAAGCTGCAGAGAAGAGCGTTCAAGCACCGCTTGTTCCAGCCACTGATCCCGTGTGCCGGATATCTCAGGGTAGGTTTCCATGCCGCGCGGCGGTCACTAGCACCCGTCTGCCTACAAGTGCTGACCTTCCAAGGGCAGACGCCCCGAATGACGGATTTGTGCCTCTCTTCCTCTCGCAGGTGATGTGGAGAAAGCAGTTACAGAACTGATCATAGATTTTGATGTGAACCCAGAAGAGGAGAGCCCGTATGAAGCTTTGTACAATGCGACGTCCTGCCACTCGCTGCTGGTTGGGACTAGAGAGGGAAAAGAGAAGAGGGACTGGGGGTTCTACTGTAGTGCTTTAACTCAAAGCAGCAGGAGTCAGGCCTGTACGTAGCTTTGTGCATTCATCTCTGCTTGCCTTAGGAGGATAGGTAACTCGCCTCCATTTTCATGATTTTGCAGCAGGCTGCCAGTCCCCCAGCTGGAGGAAATCTTTACACCCGTCCCTGACACTGATTAGAGCAGGCAGGTCTCTCGCCTGTGTCACTGGCATGTTCACGTACCCTCCGTCGCGTTGCCCACGAGTGGCCACTTCGGCATGCCTGGCTTTCACCGAGCGTTGCATCCTTCTGTACTCTGGCGGTTGGATACCGGTACCTGTGAGCTTTGGCTTGTCAGGACGTTGTACTTAGTTGAAGGATTAACTTCTTGTCTAGAAGAAAGCTTTGGACACTGTGTGTGGAGGGTTTTTCTCATCTCTCTTGCTCTCTGCTTTGCCCAAGAGAAGGCTCTTATGAAATTATCCTTAAGAATATACTGCTGGAAACTAGTTGGCAGCAGAAATGAGGTTTTGTGTATTACTTGCAGAGATCTGTAGAGGGTACTCAAGGCTTTACAAGGCAATGCAAAGCTCCTGGAACTGTCTCCAGAGAAGTCTTCCTCACGTTCTGTTAGTTGCATCCGCTGCTCCCTTAGCAATCGGTGGCGACACTGCTATGGGGCGGGTGGGCTGCTGGCCTGAGCGCGCTGTGTCAGCTTCGGGGTTTGTTTTCTGGTTTGTTTTACAACGCCTGCTCCATGGATGTAGTTCGGACAAAAGGCAAAGCAGCAATGAGCAATTCAACTGCTGGTGGTACTGTAACCATGCTTCCCCTCTCTGCAGAGAGGTGCATCCTTTTTCCTGTTCTATTAGCAAATATAGTAGAAAGGAGACAAAACCTTAAGAAGACTGACATTTCAGCCACATCTCGTATGCAGTACAAGATGCACTGTCCTGTTGGTAACTAAATCTTGGTGGCTTATATCCAGCTATATACCGTCCTGCGTTAATAGTGTCTGATGTGAAATGAGCTCAGCTGTATCACAAATAAGGAAAGATGAGAGGCTGAACTGCAGTGAGGAGGGAGACGAAGGAGTGTTCCAGGAGCTCGCTGGAGCTTCTCCCCAAACTCGCTTGAGTTTTTTTCGAGAGTGGTTCGCCTCTGCCGTTTTTCCCGTTGCCATTAGATGGAGCTGTTGCAGGGCAGGAGATGACCGAGAGATCCGTTTCTGTCTGCGTGGAGACAAGGCAGCGCAGCTCTTACTGCCCACAGGCAATCTTGGGATATTTGAGGAATGCAGTGCAGCATTGTCTGTTGATCTCTAGGGTTCTTCACTCTCAAAGGTGCCTCTGGAATCACTTATTCATGTTAAGACACAAGTGATGAGTCTTCCCTTTCTACCCATCTGCATGAGTCGTTACTGACCTTCACTGTGTAATGCTGAGATTACCAGTCTGGGTCAGAACGAACTGGCTTAAGTAATGAAGCAATAAACCTGAGTAAACAGCACCTTCCACCCGAGCAGTTTTATTCTCCTGAAAGCGTAGCTGGTGCTCACGTGGGTCTGCTCTGGCCTTGTGCAGCATTGCCGCTGCGGAGCAGAAGCGGGTGGTCTGTGTCCTCACTAGCGGTCCATCCACAGGACCGCACTACAGAGACTCTGCAGAAGGGGCTCTCTGCCCGAGTAGGTGTCCTGCTGAGGAGGAGGAGGAAAGGCAGCAACCATCGCCAAGCTCTGTGCTGTTAGGACTGAACTTCTCCACTCAGATTAATTTGAGGAGGTCCATACCGTGCTGCATTCACAGCAGTGTGGACGTAGGGCTGGTGGGAGCAGAAGGGGCCATGCTTTAACACAATGCAGTTGACAGTGGTCTTCTAAATCGCAGAGAGAACGTCCACCCCCGCCTGCCAAGCCGCCGCCCGATGAAGAGGAGGAGCAGCACGTGGAGAAGAAGATAGGCCATGGTGCTTCCTCCGAGGTACGTGGGACTTGGTGTGGGATGTTTTATAGGAGTGTGGTTTAAAGAACAGTTTTAATAATTTGGGAGGAGCCGACTCCCTTGCAAGTCAGGTTGCGAATGGGAAGCTTTCTTTCGCTCCAGCATCGCTGCCGTCGCTTGCCATGGGAACTTCCTTTGTCCGGTTCTTCCAGGGCACCTCTGCGTTGACCTTCAGCCTTACTTTCCTATTCTTGGCTGAGAATTCCCTTAGGAAGAGATTTTTCTGAATCACGTTGCGATGTGGACTGTTGCCCACTTGTAATGATCCCACCAAATGCGTCTTCACTTGCGAGTGAAACCCAGAGGGCCGTTAGTTCCTACTTCCTCTTAGCTTCCAGCTGTGGAGGAGATGCGTGGGCTTGTGGGTCCCGCTGACGTGAACAGGGATCAGGGGCTTGAATTCAGCCGAGAATCTGTCTTCTGCAGAGGTCAATGCGTGTGAGCCGCTTTTTGATGAAAGTAAAGCACTCTTTTTCTGCACTGTTGCTCCTGGGCTTCCTGTTGCTCATTTTTATTCACCTGCCTGTGAACCTGAGATGCGAGGGCTCTCCGGGAGACCTCTGCATGGGGGTGTGCGAAACCACAAATGTGCCTTGGCAAGCTCTGCTGACGCCCAGGAAAATCATCAAAGCAAAACCAAATCGTGTGGATTTCCTTGCTTTTCCAAAGGCAGTAGGTGGTGTGTAAAAGAAGCGGAGTGTGCTCTGCCTCTCGCTGGTGGAACAGACTCCGGGTCACCAGATGCTTTGCTTCGGGTGTGGTGATCTGCTGAAGTTCCTACAAGGCATAAATGTGATCTGTTTTCTGAAGTGTGTCAAATCTCCACGAGACATGAGTAAACATTATTTACTTTAATAGAACTGACTTTTTATAGAGACAATAAAGCTCTAAACAGTGCATAAACAGTAAAATTGAATGTGAAATGGTGGACTGACCTCTCCGCTGCTGTTAAAATGGTTTTGCAACGTGTGATAACCAGTCCCGTGGCCAGCTCTGGGCAGAGGAGAGCTGGGTAGAAGGTCACGGCATAATTGGAAAGCAGAACTTGTTCATGACGATAAACACGAGGGAGGGAAACGTGCATTGACTGCTCCTGCTGAGTTATCTTGCCATATTTAATTATAAAACACCTGCTGGGTTGTCCTGCCATTAAGGGCTTTGGAAACATGATCCATTAAAGGAAATCTCGCTGGCAAATAGACCTGTACACAAAGTGACTCGCTGGGGAGATCTTGATTTGCAACCAGTTCCGTGGATATAACATACAGGCAGCGAGTGTCGCTGCCTGGAAATGACCTTCGAGATGTGCCGATGAGGCAGGTTTGGGTCTGATTCTTTTTCTTTGCTTGCTGCTTCTGGGGTGCTGTGCTTTTCTGACTCTTGCCCGTTAGTTATCATCTCAGTACATGTTCTCTCTGGGTTGGGCAGGCGCGAACAGGAATACGCTTGGGGAATGCTGTAAACGTCTCGTTGCAGCCTCCTGATCTGCCATCCTCCAGATCTGCTCCCCCGTTAGGGCCGGGACAGTCAGTCATTTAATATCCTGGGGTCGGGCCAAACTCGAGTTTCAAAAGTAGTCTTTTTATTCCATTGCCAAGATGGGGCTATCTGTCAAAGCAGATGTGCGTAAACAAGAAACTTTTAACTTTCATCATGGAAAAACATTAGTACAAACAGGCGAAAGAGCTGATTGTTTGGAGGTGCTTGAGTGCCGCCTTTCGCTATCTGCAGAAACCTTCTGGGTTTGCAGCTGAATAAGAGTCTGCGTTGTCAAATTAAACTTCAGTCGCATTTGTTTACTACTCATCTCCGCAAGGGAAGTGCAGACAAAAGACGAGGCGCCATGGTGGTTCCAGCAGTTTGGTCTGCAGTTCTGGTGGGGGAGGAGAGAGAAACGAGATGAGTTACCCTTTAAAAAGTCTTTCAAAGTCCACTGCTGGGGATTAAGTACGCTCGAAAGAGCGTGCTCATTATTAACGACAGCTTATTTTTGGGCTTTGCTAACAGTGAATCTTTATATATGCTACCCAACGTGTATAAATAAATGAAAGAGGAATCAGAAGAAAGTTTTATTTGATGATTTTGATACTCCTGGTTGCAGAGCCTACAGAGCCAGCACAGTTCTCCGGCAAACAATGGTCCTCATTTTGAGGGAATTTCAACCCGAGACTCTCTTTTAAAGCTTGGAAGAGTGAGAGATGGAGAAAATAAAGCGTAGCCAGGCCTATAAACGCATGCACGAAAGTGTACAGAGCAAAAGCTGGGAATTGCGTGCTGCTAGGGAGCTGCTGCTTTCGCACGCGGTCGGTGCGTTTGGAAGAGGACAGCACAGTAATCGTCGTCTGCGGGAGGCGTCGGGGGGTACTAATGCCTGGCCTGAGGTCCAGGCTACAACTGTTATGACAGGCTGCTGCTGTGCAGTATTTTTCCAAGATCTCTGGTGAGAGCCTGTTACCTACTGTTACAGTCTGATGGTTTTGTGCCACCATCTGGTCAGAAGTCGGTTTTTGTTTTTTTTTCTTTAATTTGCTCGTTATGAGCTCTTTCACCTGAAAAGGAGCAGGTCCGCCTGACAGCTCATGCTCGAAGCAGATAGAATAAATACTTTCTTTGCTGGACATGACCCGTTTCCTCCCATTGAGAAAGTTGATTTAAAAGCCAGCTGGGCTCATGCAGCAACAGCACGGGGATGAAGGACTCCTGTCTGTGCTGCTGACTCCTCTGTGTCTTTCCAAGACTCCTCCAAGCTTCCAGGGGTCCTGGCTAGATTGCCGTCGGGTAGGTAATTTTTAGCGGGGTCCATTGTGAGGGGTAATGGTTTGAAACTAAAAGAGGGCAGATTTAGATAGAAGGAAGACATTTTTCACAATGAGGGTGGTGGAACGCTGGCCCAGGTTGCCCTCAGAGGTGGGAGATGCCTCATCCCTGGAGACGTTTCAGGTCAGGTTGGACGGGGCTCTGGGCAACCTGATGGAGTTGGAGATGTCCCTCCTTATGGCAGGGGGGTTGGACTAGATGGTCTTTAAGGGTCCCTGCCAACCTGAACCATTCTATGAGTCTATGAGGTACCTATTTGCCCTTGAAGCAACTCTGATGCTTTCACTTCAGGGAAGAAATTGGAGGTGGTGCTTAGCCCGCTGTCTAGACAGTGGCAGTTCCAGGAGTCTGTGAGCGGGACGGGAGCCTTCCTTGGGGGGATGTTTGGTTCAGACCTGTCCTCCCCTCCCTTGGCAGCAGGGAGGCATCACTTGTTTTCTGGCTTGGGTTTGACCCCACCGCGGTTGGCTGTAGGCACAGATGGCTCCTGGTCCAGGGCAGCATCAGCCTGCCAGCGTCTGGCCAGGAGATGGTGCTGGAAGGCAGCTGACCGTGCAGGCAGGGTGCCTTGAAGGCCAGTTTAGCCCCATTAGCACTGGGATGGCACTGGTGGCTCTCTGAGGATGTCGAATGCTTGTCATCCTTGGCGGTGAGGTAGACCAACATGTGCGAATCTGTGGCAAGACTCATTTGGATCCTGCATCAAGACTGTGTTCCTGCACACAGATGGTGGCTTTCCAGAGCAGCTCGCTGGAGGGTCTGCCAGTGCTACAAACGAGCTCAAATCAGCAAATTTTGGGGATTTAAATGAGCTCAGTCACTGCTGCACATCCTGAGGTTAAACTGAGTTTATATAGTGTTGCCTGAGGGCTCTTTAGCCCAATACACAGTGCATCCCGAGGTTAGAAACGCCACGTCTGAGACCTCTGAGAAGGTGGCAGAGATTTGAGCTTTTCTTTTTTTGTTTTGTTTTTTTAAGCCATGTCCTGATAGGGCCAGCAACTAAATAGTGAATGACGGTGCAAATTCCAATAGCAACAGTAAGCCTGAGTTGGGATGAACAGGAATAACGGTCTCAGCTCTTTTCCCCCCTCCAGGCTGTCTGCAGACCTTGCGCAGTGAATCAGTTGGTCGGTGCTAGAAAACTGTCAGCAACCTCAAATACTAGAAAATAAAGGGGGGTTTGGTTGGGTTTTGGTTTTTTTTTTTAGGGGAAAAAAAAAAAAAGAGGGGGGGGGGATTACTACATTTTGGATCAGGCTCCACAGCGAAGGTGTCGCCTCTGCCAATTCCTTGCTTAAACCGTGGCATAAAGAGGCCTTGTGCTTATTGCCGGGATAAATAGCATTGCTTTGTGGAATGCTACATTATGCCGTTTTTCATTAGGCCTCTGTTGCCCGAGGAAGGAGCAAGGGAAGTGGAGCTGAGGAAGAGGAACACCCTTACGAGCTCTTGCTTACGGCAGAAACGAAGAAGCCGGTTGCGGTGGATAGGAAAACAAAAGGTGAGTGACCATCCAAAAAGCCGAGCTGTTTGCTGAGATGCGTTTAAGGGAAACGGAGAGGGCAGAGAGTAACGGGAACAATTAAACTCTGTGTTGGGTGGGGTGGCTGGGGTCGGGGTTGCAATTGTTTTTGTTTCCTGGTAATCTTCACTTTTATAAAGGAGAGATCTAAATGTTCCTGTACAAAATGTACACGGAGGAAGGGCAGCTCTGCTATTTTGACAACTGTTAACTTAAAAAATAAGCAAATCTTGTGCACAGTCAAGTAAATGCAGGGGGGTGGAAGGCTGTGCCATGTTGTTACAAGTGAGAGGAACCAATGCAAGCGTTTCAATGAGCCGTATTCTCCATCCAGCTGGATTTAAAGACCTGCTGGCGTTGCACGTTTATATCAGCAGATGATTTGCCCTGCTATCCCGGTCTTAAAATCAACATCCCGCTGTCTATTAAAGCTAATTCGAGTTGTAAACTAACAAAGGAGGAAAATAAACATGTGTAGAGCAAGCCCCTCTCTAGAACTGACTGAAAATCCGCTGTATAGCCAGGTTAAGTATCGAACTCAGCCCTCTTCTCCCAGAGGGACTTCTGTGCTTTACAAAGGGTCTGGGAACACCTTGTCTCTTGTGTTTGGCTGTCGCTGGGCTTTTTGGCTTTCCTTCAACAACAACAACAAAAGATTTGTTTAGAGGAAAAACATCTCTTGCTTTATTCAAAAGTCCTGAGCAGGAATTTAGAAGGATTTAGTTTGGACTCCATCTCGCTTTGAGGATGAGCGGAGGATAACGCGCACTGGAGGTGATGTCTCATTGAGCGCCCTGTGAGACCTGCAGCTTTTTTCCTTCCTTCCTGCAGCGTGATAGCTTTCATTCCTCGAGTCCTGCCGCGCTCCTGGCTTCTGTAGGGGTGGCACAAGAGGTCGTTGGTTTCCCACCACCATTTGCCAAAGCCACTTGCTGCCGAAGGCGAAGTTAGGATGCTTTTCAGGTTGGTGCTTTGCAGTCTCGGCCAGGAATAGTCCCTGGGCGACAGCCATACAACCAGAAGCTTTCAGGCTCTCTTTTCAGCATGCGGCTATTGCTGGCTATTCAAGTGCGAGCTATTCCTGGCGGCTTTGCTCCTTCCTCCGGCTACCGTGCCTAGGCTTGATTGGTAGTGAAGGTGTGTTGAAATCATGTGTCAGATTAAAATAAAATCTCGAAGTAATGCATCTGCTGGTTCTTGATGCAAATCTCTTCCCCTGAAGACATCGGTACTGCAGGTCCTCTAAGCCCCACTTCACAGAGAGAGAGGTTGCAGGAAGCATCTTTAGCCTATTAAGGATCCAGAGCAGAGTCCTGTCTTTTACCGTACAGCTAGAAAGAGAATAGCTGTGACTTCAGGGTCTGCAGTCTATGGTAAGTGTCACTGTGTGTGTAACAACCCTAGAGCCTCTTCCACTGTTATAGTGGGAGAAATCCAGGGATGCAGTTGAGTTTTCTCATCTTCCAGGACTTGTTCGCCCTTTTAAATGCAATCAGCACTGTGACTGATGCGGTTGAGCCTTCGATCCAGTGGAGGTGAAGAGCTGCTCCTAGGGGGAAGGGGCACAGCCAATGTATTTCTCAACTCTTGCATTCCTTACGCGTTTCAGGGCCATCTCCCGTTGCACTTCGTGGGAGACCTGCAGAAAGGGACACGATTGTTTGTCCCTCTTCTCCAGAGGGTACCAGCTGATTTCCAAAACACCTCGGAGTGTTCCCTGTGGCACGCCGCGTCCCCAGCCGGCAGCTCCCCCTACACTGCAGGAGGAGCTGAACTTCAACAGGGCCCCGTGTCATCTTTCCCCTGCTGCTGGTCCTCTCGAGGACTTCAGGCTTCTCAGCCCCAGTAAGAAACGAGGCACCGACTGTTCTTCTCTTTTGTGGTGTTCATCCTCGCCTTCTGTCACGGCATTATGGGTTGCTTCTTTCTGCACGTGAGCTTCATAGCTGCTCTGGAAGGGTGGATCGGCTTTGGAATCCGCTTTGTTACACTGGGAATGAAAGGAAATGTTTCCGTCTTTCACAGTATTTAGGGTCAGGTGCCAGAAGGGCATGTGGAAGCAGACGTAGCTAAGTATGAAACGCGAGGTACATCCTGATGGCAGGGAGGAGAGGATGCATTTAGGGAGCAGCAGAGTCATTTTGGCAAAACAAGGGCTGAGTGATGGAGAATTTTCCCACCTCTGGATCAGAGGGGTCCTGGAGCATCAAAGGCAGCAGCTCAGTCCCAAGACGAGGAGCAGGCCGAAGCACAGCTTTGGAATTGCTTCTTGGCCCTCGATCTGAGAGGTCGGGCTTCTAGATGTTACTTGATGAGTTCTGGAGGAGCCTTTGGTCAGAAGAGGAGGACTCCGATTCTCGCGGGCTATTGAGAAGGGCTTTTCAGGGCAGCTGAAAGGCTGAATTTCAGGCACGCTGGTTTTAATGGTGCCTTTCATATGTGATAGCTGCCTTTGTTCCTCTTGCTGCAAGTTGTCTGGTATCCAGTGACTAGATGAATGCGATATTATCCGCCTGGCTTTGGTTGCCTTTTGTGTATGTTACAGCAGTTTGCTGTCACATGCTGGAGCACTAGGAAAAGTTGGCCTAATGTTGCGGGCAGCGTATCAGAAGTGGTTTGAGCCAAATGCTTTCCCATCCCCTTTGGTAAGGAAACGAGGTGCAATCGCATGCATGAAGTCAGGGCGTTCAGACCTTCTGACGGGACTTGTAAATAGGCCAAGAGTGGCGAACTGACCGGGAGGAGACTGTACAACTCCTGCTGCGTTCAGAGAGATCTGATGGAGGATGAATACGGAAAACTCTTCTGAGTTTTGAAGTCTGTCTTGCTTCTCAGGAGAGTCATCCAGAAGTGCTGTCAGCAGTAACCAGCTGCAGGTAGGACTGACTTGGCTCTTTCTGACAGTTTTTAAAAACTGATATTGAGGTTCTGCTGTGCTGCCTCCATAGGAAGCCCAGCTTGAAGTCCCTACTTTTGCCTCTCATCTGGCTTGAGTTGTTCTTTGTGGTTGTATGGCCTCAACCAGGTGTATGGCTGTGCTCTAAACCAGATAGCCGACCCAACGATAACAGACAAAACATGCTGGCGAGAGATTTAAAGAAAATATCTTTGCACAGAGCCAAAGTATGGCTACAAAAGCAGTGGGATGGGTATCACTATAGGGAAGCTATGGGGACACGGGGGTATTGCAAAGAAAGGTTGGAATGGACAGAAACCTCTTGGTTTGCTGTGAGATGGATGGTGGTGTAGAACTCCAGCCTGCGTGCCCTCCCTTGGCTTTCTCATGGCTGGAGAACAGACCCTTCTCCCATGTCTCAGGTCCAAGCCTGCGTTTCTGCTGGCGTGATGTATTTAGAAGCTTCTGTCCAGAGTCATGTTAGTGATCTCTCTAAGCAACTCGGGCAGTGTTTTACTACCCTTTCTTAAAATGGGAATAGGAGAGGGAGTACAAATGAGCACAGCTTCAGGTAGCTTTTTGTGAATAAACTCTGCCTAAAATGACTGAGCTTGATGAGAGTAATAGAGGAGCGTACTGTACACATCTGGGTTTCACATGCAGTACCTCCCTGTGGAAATGAGCCTTTTCACTATTACTGCAGATGAAGGTTATTTTTGTACCTCTCAAGTAGCGCCCCAAAGGCCGGCTTCCCTCTCTTCTCTGGCCTTCTGTGCCACAGGAGATAGGTTTGCATGCTCCTCACTTGACAAATTCTGGCGTGGTGCGGCACGGGGAGCCTTTTCCATATGAAAGCTAAAGGTTAGCATGTGCCCTCATGAGTCGTAAGGTTGGGGAGCTTGAGCAAAAAGCAGCTGCAATAACAGCTTCAGTCTCCTAATCCAGAGGCATGAAACAAACCCTGCTGCTGCGGTTGCAGCGTAGTGCTATGAGTTTAGGAAAGTGCTTTGTAACTGGAGTCGTCAGGCTGATGGCAGGGAAGCTCTGAATTGCATCTTCTCTGGGAAGCAGACAGCATGCACCCAGAAAGGGGTTCCTGTTCCCGTTTGGTGTCGGCAGTTCCTCCTGTCGGTGCAACCTGCAGCAGGCATTGGCTGAAGAAGTCAGGACCAGTCAGACGTCTGTGCTTGGGTGTAAAATAAGCTAAGGGAGTTGGACAGAAGTCTCTGTGTCAAGGACGACTCCCTTTCTGAGTTAAAAGGTGTAGTTGGAGGAGAATGCTTTCAACTCCCTTCAAGTACAGCAGATGGGTAGAGCTGAGGTCTCTGCTTTGCTAGCACCTAAATGTTATTTTCCCCTTCTCCAAATTCACTGCACCCTTGAAAAATGAGTACTGCTCAGCTGTTTGCCATAAGAAAAGGGGTCAACACATCACCTGAATCATGTCAGTAACCTATCCCAAAAAGGTACACCTTCCCAAGGTGGCCAGTGGTTGTTCTGGCCTCTTTGCCAGCCATCCTGAGGCATCTTTAAGTGAAACCCCAGAAGGATTCCTTGAAACGCCAGGATCCCCTGGGGAACCCTCTGTTCCTGCCACGTGCACCTCGGTGGTAAGGAGGAGTGAGATTGCTCTTCCGTGCCCATGTTGGTTCTTCTGTCGGCGGCTTTCAGCACAGGCTGAAACCTCTGAAATGTCTCCTTCAAGATATTCCTCACATCTTCTGAGCAAGTGCTGTTGTCCTTGCTTCACCCCTTCCTTCCCTGGCAGCTGCCTTGTATTTCGAAGTCCTCCTTCATCGGCTCGAGGATGAATGGGTGGCTGTGATTTCTGTTCAACAGGAGCCCTTTTGTGAGTCTCTGGAGCTGGATTTGGAGCACTTTGTTCTGGCTGGACCCAAGCGTTCCAGCACATGGCACAAACTTTCACCAGCCGCCTCTCTGCCTTCAGGAGAATGTCAGTAAAGGTTAAGCTGGGGCATGGAAGAAATTATTTCCAAAGAAGAAAAGAGGTTAAGAATAAAGGCTGTTGATTTTGCAAAAGTTTTTCCCTCCACATCAGGTTAATGTGACTGTGCCATCAGCGCTCTGTCCCTCTTACCGGGGCAGTAGCTTTCTCTTATTAATACCAGTCTGTCCCATGAATACAGCATGTCTGATCTCTTCTAAGGTTTCTCTCTGGCGTTACCGCTTCATAACTATATGCAAAGTAACTGAACGTAGTCTGGTCTTGAGATCTTCTGATCGGGTGCTGCTGTTGGCACTCCCCAGTCAGCCTTAGGAATGATGCTGGAGACACCACCTGCCCGCAGGGGACGTGCCTCCCTCTTGGCAACTTCGCTGCGGAACTTTTGCTTTACGTGCCCGGACAAGATAATCAACAACTACTTCACTGTCCTGGAATCTTTTAACTCATAGGATCCAGAATGAAATAAGCCCTTGCATCACTTGATCCCGGCGAGAAGCGAGGTCCGCCGGCACGCTGCCCTGGCAGTTAACCTCCGTTCAGGCTTTTGCTGTTCCTGACTCAGCTGCCAACTGAGCAAACTGCTTTTAGCCTTTCTGTGGAGTAAACAAATGCCTGCAAGAGGGACTAGCTACGCTTATCAAACGCAGGGCTCATGAGACCCCAGGATCTGAAGCGGCTTGCGAAGATAAATGACTAATTCAGTCCTTTCCTGCCTCATTTCTGCTGTGAGGACAGAGCACGAAACCAGATGGGTGTCAGTGTTTGAAAACGACCTGGTCAAGCCTAGTGCTGGAAGGGATGCACGGGGGGGAAGGCGTTGATCTCGCTGTTGTTGCTAATAGGCTGCTTTTAGTTAAAGATAAGTAAAATTCATTAGTGTATTTTGCCTTGCTGAAACGAGGATTCCTTTGCCTTGGCTGCCGGGAGCTGCTGTCTTGCAGAGCAAGCCATTTCCTCTTCACATCCAAACATCCTCCCCGCGTCTCAGAGCCACCTTATCGGGGTGCTTTGCTTTATTGTTCCTTTGCGGCGCTGGTTTTCGGTCCTTGGACTGAAGAGTGTTTCATCAGCGCTAAATGGAAGTGGTTAAAATTTACAAGCAATTATGGGCAGGTTTAGGAGTCCACGGTAAACAGAAGTTATACTGGTTAGATTTACATAGTTTTGCTTTTACAGATCAAATGCACATGTGTAACATGACCAAGGTGAGTCCCCCGTATGTCTGCACACGCTTGGCAATTGGGATCGGTCAATTATTCATGATTTATGCAGGGCCCTGGTACCTGATATTAAAGATGTTGGTGCAGGAGTAGCTGAGTAAGAGTGTCGTGTTTCTGGGACAGCCGGTGCTCCCCACAGCTCGCTGCCTCCGTACATCAAACCCTTCAGTGTTCAGCGGTCCGCTTGCAAGAGAGAGACTTTTTGATCGAGTTTTTTATTGCATAAACTGTTTATTTCTCTCCCCTGAGTAAGGAGGAGAGGTTAAACTCGGAAACCACTAGGGAGGAAAGCAGTGTGGGTTTTTGTTGGGGTTTTTTTGGTTGTGTTTTTTTTTTTTTTGGGAACGGATTTTGGAACTCGCAGGTTGATTACAGTCCAGAAGTTTTCCCACCCTGCAGCTTGTGCCAAGAGCGGGGAGCGCTGCTCTAAATAACACTTTGGCCTTTATGGAAATGCATCAGATGTTCCAGGAGCCTCCGTCTCTGCTTCTCCTACCTCACTTGCTCTCTCTGCAGGATATAGTTAGCACTTCTCTTAGCCTTATATAGCAAGGCCTGATAGTTAGTGTTAACAGGAATAAAACAACAAGGAGAGCTGCCAGATTGCATAAATCAGACCAGTGTTTGGAATTTCATAAATGCCATGACTTTGGGTACAAGTCGAGCACGCGGAACAATACTGAACTGTTCTCTTTTTATCTCTCCCTCCCTCAGCGAGGGAGGGCAGGGGGAGAGCTGGAATTTTGCTGCTTCTTCCATGTTTTTAATTCCCCCCCCTCCTCTGTTTTCATCCCCTTGAAGACCACAGGAGGAGCAGTGGCTGCTGCAGCCAGGACTCTGCCGACGGCCAGGACATCCAGGTTCCAGAGCAGTTTTCAGGGTTGCTTCACGGCTCTTCCCCGATCTGCGAGATAAGCGAGGACCCTTTCAGGCTCGTTTCCTCCGCGGAGAAAGGAGGCACGGAAGCTACAAGCCGCCCACCTGCTATGCAGCTGGAGGATGCTGAGTTACCTGCCTCTGCATCAGTACGGACCAGCTCTCCGGACCAAAACCAGAAAGTGGTCTACGCAACCGTCCAGCACACGCACGTCAACCGGGCGGATCCTGAAACTGTAGTCACGCCCCACGTGCTACAGCACCCCGGCGGTGCTGAGGAAGAGGGGGACAGAGCTGTGGGCAGAGCCCACCCGGGGAGCAAGCCCAAAGCCGAGCTTAAACTCAGCCGCAGCTTGTCCAAATCGGACTCGGATCTTCTGACCTGCTCTCCGACAGAGGACGATGCCATGGGGAGCCGGAGCGAATCGCTCTCGAACTGCAGCACTGGGAAGAAGAGGCTGGAGAAGTCCCCGTCCTTTGCTTCAGAGTGGGACGAGGTAAGGCTGACCTTGCTTAAGAGCTTCTGTGCCAGGAATGAATCTGTACAGCATGAGCTCCTCTCTACTGCACTCACCTTTGGAGGGGGTCCCGGGTGGTTCTCGCTATTTTAACTAACTCTCACGTTAACACAAACGCTCACTTGTAAGTCTTTAAGACGTTAAATGCCAAAAGACAGGGTTAATTGGAGTGGGGGAAAGCAGAATTGCATCAAGTGAGGGGCCTTTCAAAGTTTTTTAAGTTGCTCAGATACAGGGTTTGATTTCTTTTAGGCAAGCCAGAGAAGTTCTTACATCCCCAAAACGAGGGAGAGTTTGATAACAGTGCTCCTCACAAATCTTTATGTTGACCTCCTTTATCCAAATCTTCCCCTGCGGACTCTCCCAGCATCCAGAGGAGAGGTTTCTGAGTCCCTGCTGCTGGGGGGGGTAACAGTGTCCTGGGTCCGTGGGGATGGAAGGAAGAGAGTAATTAGGCTGTTTTGTGTATTTAATAGCTCCCGCTTTCCTCTTCACATATTTATTTCAGAGGCTTGTTAGAAGTCGCTTTATTATAGTGCAGGAGGCCCGTGGATAGTTAAATATTTCATGCTCAGAAAGTTGGCCCTAGTGAACCACTCAGGCGAGATTAAGTGTCCCTCTGAAATTCAGCACCGCAGCATTACTGAAACATTCTTTGGAGATGATTCTCTGCTGGTAGAGCAGCAGCGCTGCAGAAGAGATAAGCTCAGATGAACCACTCTTTGTACACTGAAAGGAAATAAAACCCCTGGCGTGGTGTTGGGGGTGTGGAGCTGTGTGTGCCGGGTGTGTAAACTCCCAGGACGGCTGTGCCCCTGCTCGCCTGTCCTCCGCGCGCTGACTGATGCTCAGCTGCCTCTCTCATCCCGACTCGGGGCTAAAATCATCTCTTGTGGGAGAGGGAGGTATTCAAAGATGCTAAAAGCAAAGTGGGACTCCCTCCTCGGTACGAGCCCATCCTTCAGTTCATATTCTCACTCCCGGCAGTGTTTCAGAGTTGCCAAATACATCTATTTTCCTCTGTAGCTGTTTTGGTTGTAGAGGCTTTGCTGTTAATTACCCGGGTCAGTTGTACCGTGACTGTTAGTGAAAGATTCTGCAGCAGAAGGCTTATTTGAAAGGACTGGATCACTTTCACTGTGCTTTTCGTGCCCAACCGAACTGTTTACAGCAAACACTAAAAAGGGAAGAAGCCTTTGGCTTTACAGTGCTGCACGACTTCACTGGTAGCAGAGGTCAAGCGTTGTGTGCCTGTGCTTCCTCTGCTCCGAGGAATGAACCCGCAGATCTGCTTCCCTGCTTGTAAACAAAAGCATCATTTCCACCCGGTGTCAGCCTAACAAGCCACAAGAGGAAAATCTGCTTTTCCTTCCCTTTATGTTTAGGTGAGGAAATCGGAGAAAGAATGTGAAAAATTCACATCTGTCTCCGAAGGGGCAGGTCTAACTTAAAAAAAAAAAAAAAAAGTTGTACTATCAAAACCTGATGGTTTTATTTGTCTTCCTGGATTCTGATGTAATTTAAACATGTTGTGGAATTGCTTTAATCTGGTAGTAGCATCCTGTGGCTAGAGCACTGATTTGCCTTGGGGTCTCATGGCTGTCACGGACCAGCTAGAATGAGTCTGGACGAAGGTTTCTCCTCTCTGCCTCAGTTTCCCCATCTGTGAGACGGCGATAGCCTCTTTTTGCAGAATGGTTTTGTTCCCACCGAAAAACGCTATGTAAATGTAAATATTCTCATAAGAAGAGGGACGAGCCAGCAGCTGGTGGGTCCCTGCCTTTAGCTTGGTCTGCTCTTTAATTTCCAAAGACTGGACAGAGGCACGTGGGGTCTCATTCTGACTCCTGGTGCAGCGGTTGCACTCTTTGATGCTGTCGGCAGGAGGGGCACGGTTCACGGGGCACAGCAGTTTTCTATAGAAGCGGCATAAAACGGAGCTGCTGATAGTAGTTTACATGGTCAGGGAAGTTCTTGCTGTAAAATATCCTAAAGCAGACTCCTGTGATGGGTGAGAAATGGCAAAGATGCCCCTGTGGGGAAGCTTTGGGGTTTTTCTGCAGTGATTTGTATGTCCAGAAAGGGGCTGATCTAGCTGGTCATAATGGCAACAATGAGATTTAAACATAAATGTAGTGCTGTTGTTGGAGGTTTAATTAGTTCCCTGAATGGGATAATGCAGCTGCTCTGAATTAGATGCAACTCGCAGCTTCTGAAGTTACCAGGCTAATATAAAACCGTGTTGAGCCGCCCGTTAGCAATGATTTGGCTCTTCCTCTGTGTTGAGGGGAAACAATGGCAGATTTAGATGCATTATTCTGTTAATTTTCATAGTCTTTATGCAGGCAACTGAGGAGGGAAGTGATCCATGAGCAGCTCTGTGCGACACGCGGCTGTAGCAGACGAGCTGAGGGTTTTGCCCACTGGCCTGGGCAGTGCGTGCGTTCGCCGGGGACCTGTTTGTGTCCGTGGACAGATGGGATCCGTGGCAGAGGCTGAGCCAGCATCGCTCTGGGCCGTGGGTGACTGTGCTCAGCTGGTCTCGCTGACCAGGGACAGCAGGAAAATGTGCTGCTTGGAAGCAAAGGGTGATGTCCCTTCCCCAGCCGAGCGCTGCCGATGCCCTTTGTTGGAAATGGAAGGTGGCGCCGGCTTTGCCAAAAGGGTGGGATGGGGAAGGAATGATTCACTCGGCACAGCTCGTCCCTCTTCCCAGTTGCGGCTCCCCGGCTCCGAGGACCTGCCCCAAACAACAGATGCCGACAGCGCTGCTTTGCGCTCCGTGGTGCTAAAGGATGTTCAGCGCCGCGTCCCGGCTGCCTCCTGACCCATCGGCTCCTTCACGGGGGCGGGAATGCACGTGTAGTGTCCCCCTCCGTCAGATGGAAACCCTTTGCAAGCAAGCTGGAGGAATTATTAAAGCAAACAGCAGTGTATTGCCCTGGGAGAGGGGTGAGGACCAAAAAGGTTCGATCCTCCGCCTGAGTGGGAAGCGAGCTGGGGAGGAGGCGGGCGAGGGGGTAGAGCTCCTAGTCAGCATAAGTATTTGAATCCTTCCGAACTTGGCTGAGGGCGAGTGATAAATTTGTTTTTCGTAATTGGCTCATAAATATTTAGCAGCCAGGAGATGAGCGTGCGGCAGTCGCAGCTCGCTGTGAATTTTGTATAGGAGAATAAACTGTGTTTGTACTCCTGGAGGAGGAGAAAGGAGGGGGGGGGGCTCTCGGCACCCGGCTCGGCTGCCAGCCCCCCCTTTCCGGGGCGGATTAACTCACATCTGCTCTGCCTTCCTCCTCCGCAGAGCGGCTCCAGCCCTGCGCATCTGCCCGGGTTCAGGCACGAGCCCTGCCGCGGGCGGGCAAACCTGCCCTTGTGTGGAATGGTACTGGTGTCCCATGGGGTGCGCTCAGCAAACCCCCCCTGTCCACAGCGTGCCGTCCAGGAGGGGCTGAACTGGTTTCTCTCTTGGTCATAAACTATTCCAGCTCTCTCTGGATGAAAGGAGAACGGAGCTTTCTGGTGAATGGAGTTAAATTGCCAGAGAGGTTGTTGAGGCCCCATCCCTGGAGGTGTTCAAGGCCAGGTTGGACGGGGCTTGGAGCAACCTGGGCTGGTGGGGGGTGTCCCT